CAGACCCTTGTAAGGTACTGTGCTCAGTGCTCAGAGGGGCGGGAGAGTGGGGAGGGTCCCCCTGGGCAGGGGCAGGGAAGGCTTCCCAGGGGTGAGAAGCAAAGGCGTGCCAGGAAAACAGGCAGCAGCGTCCAGCAGGAAGAGGGGCACAAGCCACAGAATGTTCCAGGCATTTCATTTTCCACTTTGCCTTCCAGCTCTTTGAAACCTGATGAGGAGACAGCACTGCTGATGTGCTAACATTCCTCCAGTGTGTCAGAAGTCGCTTGCCAAGAAGAAGCCGGCCACAAAGACATATGTGCCCAGCCCCAAACTACAGCAAGCTTGACTTTTGTTTGTCTCTTTACACGAAGGTCCGTTGGCTACTGATGACCCTACGAGCAGGAGAAAATGCCCAGAATCTGCCCTTCAGGTGCTTGTCAGGGACCCGTGATTTATAGGTCTGTCCAGGCTAAGGCAGCGGCATCCCCAACAGTGGTAAGGACATGGGAACTGCAGGGCTGGGTGTGAACTTCAGTTCAAAGAAATGTGACTTGAACAAAGACTTTCCTCTCTAGAGGCCCCACTTCTTAACACTGTGGAATAAGCCAGGCAAACCGAAAGATGATCAGTTCACAGCTCTACTGCCCCAGAGACAGTCGAGCTCCAGAATATTCCTTATGAGGTGCTCCAGTCTTTCTACAGTCATCAGTAACAGATGGTCTTGTTTTAACTTTCTCCTGTTAGGTGGCAGGTTCTTTGAAAGCAAGAACTGTGTGTTATTTCTCTTTCCCCTCCTGATCCCTGGCAGAGTGCTAGTAATTAACCAGGGATGAATCAATGCTACACAGACAGGGGTGGAGGATGGACTCGCAGATGAGTGGAGTATCCCCAGAATAACCAGACACCTGGAGACAGACTTTCTTTCCCACCTTGGCAGAGGAGCTGGAGCCCCGAGACTTAGTGCCAACTGCTACCGCTGGGCAGGGGCTCGGGCATCTGGGTCTCCAGCCAGGCTGGAGGGAGGACCTCAGAATATCCCCACCACCTTAGGAGGACAATTTCACCACAGTTCCCCGAGCAACTGTCACTGAGTGGTCTTGGGACCCTGGACCATCAAAGTGGGTATGTCCGAGATGGGACCCACTGACGGAGAGCGGGAGGCCGCTC